GGCGGGGGCAGGCGAAGGGGCGGCCGTTGTTTAGACGTGTTGGGGGAAGCGGAGGCTGGGGGCGGGGCTGGGAGTGGGTTGTTGCTGCAATCGGCTGCTGCAAGCTGTGCAAATTGCAGTCACGCAGTGCGCCGGCTGAGGGTCCTGCTGGCGACGCACGCGCCATTCCTGTTGTGCGGGTCCCCAGGTCGAGGCGGGCTGCGGGCGTTTGTTTTTTTCGCGCCGCTCACCGTCCCTCCAGCTCCTGCTGGCCCAGCAGCACCGCGATCTGGCTGAAGTTGACGAGGGAGCCCTTGGCGCCAGACACGGTCATGAGGCTCATGCAGTTGGAGGGGAACGGCTTGACCTGTGCGTGTGTGTGTATTTGTGCGTGCGCGTGTGTGTGTATGTCAGTGTGTGTGTGTGTGTGTGTGTGTGTGTGTAAGTGCGAACGTGTGTGTATGCGTGCATGCGTGCAGTGCTCGGCCATTTCTCGAGACGATGAGGTTGAAACCGTTGTTGTGTCGAAATCATCGGGCGGCGGCGTACGCGCGCACCTGTCCCGAGGGGATGCAGGCCTTGATGGCCTCTGAAGACAGCGGGTGCATCGCACTCGTGACCTGCAGGGGTCGGTCGTTTGGGCGAGGGGAGGGGGAAGGAACATGTGGTCTATCAAGGTGTGGTGAGTGCGGGAGATGAGCGGGCGCGTGTTGACACAGGGTGTGCTGCCCGGGTACAATGCACCTGAACGGATGCGCTCTACAAACGGCATCGCCCCAGGCCGCCCACGCGCGCTGCGGGGCAGCCCCGCGCCACCACTAGACCAAGCGCTCCAAGGTCAGCCCAGACCAGGTCAGAATCAGAATCAGATCGGACCAGATCAGATCAGATCGCGCACCTTCATGTCATGGACCTTGCCCGCCTGATCTCTGTTTGACCGGTACCGCTCCCCCAGGGAGTCAGACACCCCCACCGCCGCAGACATGAACCTGGCGTTTGCATTGCCAATTGGAAGAGGGGGCAAGTGAGGTATTGCGAGGAATAGAGCAATTGGGACGGCGCCGAGGCGCGCGCGTCAGGGCCGTCGAAGCGTGCACCAAGCGCCCACACGGGGTGCCCCGCACACGCCGACGGAGGGTCCGTCCCCCGCGGCTGACCCGCCCGCGCCGCACAGCAGAGGGGGGGGGGGTGGAACAGCAGCCGCTGGGCACGCTCGCGCCGGCCTCTCGCAGCCGTCTCCGCCGGCTGCCCTGTGTCAGCTTCACCACCCCGATGCCGTTCAGCATCAGAAACAGATACGTGTGCATTCGATTTCAGCGCACCTCCGCCGCGCCTCCTCCCGCTCCTTGGCGTCCGCCCCCGGCCGCGCCAGCAGCGCGCCCGGCGCCGGCACGGCCGCGCCCGTCGCGCCGCCCGCCACCGCGCTCGCGCTGATCGCAGCCGCCTCCGCGCGCCGCAGCACCTACACACGCGCGCGTGTGCAGCATATGACGTCACCGTGAGTCACGCCGCCCAGCTCCCCAGTCGCACCCGCCGTCACCGGGACCAACGATTTCACAGACCCTCCGCCTGCAGCCGCCGCAGCAGAAGCTGCGGGCCAGCCGCACCCGCTCCACTGCACCCTAAAACACCCCTCAACCAACAGACAACAAGGTCCCACGCCCCGCCCCAAAACAAAACCGCCCCGCCCGCGCACCGCCTGGCGTGCGTCCTCCGCCGCGGGCACCAGCAGCAGGTCGTCCATGCCGCAGGTGAAGCCGTGCCACTGCAGGTACAGCGTCATGAGGCGGCTGAGGGCAGACAGCATCTCGCCCGCTACGCCGTTGCCGTACAGCTCCTGCAGGAGGGGGGGGGGCGGGTGGGGGCATGGCATGGTTGGGGGGTCTGGGTCCCAGGCAGAGATGTGTTGTATGCTGTCCCAGGCAGGGGGTTGTGCATGTGTGTGTGTGTGTGTGTGTGTGTGCATTGTTGCAGATAGAGTAGGGTGCGGGTCCGTCTTGTTGCGTCTTGAGGCAGAGGGGTGAGAGCAGTGAAGTTTCGCAGACGTAAGACCAGGGGGTGGGGACATTCAGTGTCGCTACCTAGGCCGCCTTCCTGGAGGAGGGGTTGGGGTCACCCTGCACCTGCATGGCGTGCACGAGGCCGAACTTCCCAAACTGGGCCTTGTCCAGGCAGCCCGCCAGCAGCTCCCCCCGCCAGAACACAAACTCCCCCTCGCCGTTGCCCCTGCGCACGTGGCGTTTTGTAGGGGTGAGGAGTGGGGTTGGGAAAACGGAGGCGGCGCGTCGGATGTCGGGCGAGGCGACGAGGAAATTGGCGTGGGAGCGGGCCGCGCTCGCGGCCGCGGCGACCCGGCGCGGGACGGATCGGGTCGCCGTTTGCCACGGGAGGCGGGCCCCACGGCGCAAGCAAGAGCGGGTCCCCACGCCTGATGGGCGGAAGCAGCCCGTCCTGACCCCAACAGGCGCCGAGCCATCCAACGGCACCCAAAATCTTGCGCCCCGAACTCGAGCACCTCACCGTCGTCGCCCCAGATTCAAGCAAGAAGCAAACCAGGCCGAGAACCAACCCCAGCGGTCGATATCCCCTCACAGTTCCCCCTTCCCCTGAACACACCACACACATTCACCCGCAAAAAACACAAAGCAAAAGCGGCCCCCGCGGCGCGCACCTGCCCCAGTAGTCCGCGGGCACCTTGCTGCCGCTGCTGAACGTGAGCGGCGCGCGGCCGCGCGTGAGGTGGCGCACCAGGGCGGTGAGCAGCTGCTTGCCGGTCCACAGGGGGCGCGGCTTGAGCAGTGCGGGGAGGGGCAGCTGCAGGTCGATGCTGTCGGGGCC